CAGCCCGGACATTCTATGATTCTGTGACACACTCCTGTATGACACATGTCACCTGTTTGACAGGTGTCCTCATTGCTGCAGCTCAACACTGATTTTTTTACATTGTTCTTCCCCATTTCTCACTCTAGAAGTTGAGAGTAGCTCTATGGTTGTGTCAGGATGCAGTGAACACAAGTCAGACTTCAGTTAACTATCCTTTGGAGCCTTTAACACACCCTGGGTCTGGGTTTGCTATGGACACTCCTTCAGAGGCCCCTGGAATTCCCTCGTTCCGCTGCTGAGAGCAGCTTGGTCTAGGTATAAGACTTACTAAACTTTGTCCTTGTGTTGTGTAGCTGCTGGAAACAGGGAGAGAGATCTGACTATGTGGTGGTCAGGGTGGTAGTCTGTAATTCCCTGCCGAGCTGCAAGCAGTGTCTGTGTTTGTCAGGTGAGCCCCATCAGGAACCTCTCTGATGGGCAGAAGTGCCGTGTGTGCTTCGCGTGGCTGGCCTGGCAGAACCCTCACATGCTGTTCCTGGATGAGCCCACCAACCACCTGGACATAGAGACAATAGATGCTCTAGCAGATGCTATCAATGAATTTGAAGGTGGAATGATGCTCGTCAGCCATGACTTTAGACTCATCCAACAGGTAAGAAAAGTAGTGAATTTTGCCAGAGCACCTTTCTAACACTTTAAAGGCATTTAAACAAAGTGTTTTCAACTGTCTGGCTCTTACTGATCCCAAAAGGATGTGTGAGTGAAAAAAATCACTGGACATGACTCTCTTGCCATGTTCCTGTGAAATAATCACTGAGCTAGCCTAGGAAAACCTTGGGTACTTGAAAGAAAAAAAGTATCCCAAAACTCTAAAAGTGAAGAATAAGTTAAATGGAAAGCATGACACACTGTGGAGGACTTAACTGGATTTTTTCCAATTATGCTGGAGTAGTTCCTAGCACAGTTGTTTGTCACTGAGTCCTCACAGGGGAAGGAAGTTGCACCATGTAGGCATAAAGGTCAGCTGCCGAATTGTCGGCTGTGGTTTGATCTGCAAATTCAGTCATTTTCCAGAGTGTTATATCCAATTAGTTCAGGTGAAGAACTACTTTGTTTCCAATTTCCAATTTAGCAGGAAAGCCTTTCCCTCTTAGTCCATGAACAAAAAATGAAAGGTCAAGGATTTTTAGTTCTAAAATCTTGTATCAATTGTGCAGAAAACACTAGGTAAGGTATTTCACTGCAGATCATTTTCTTTGGTAGCTGAAGTGCAAATGTTGTTAAACTCCTTTCTTACCAGATTTCAGAGAGTAGACTTTGGTTAATTTTATAATTTCAGTAAAGTTACAAGATGCTGTACTGAAAACCTCTCCTCTTCCTCCTCCCCCTGCCCCGTGTGGTTGCTTCTAGGTAGCACAGGAGATCTGGGTCTGTGAGAAGCAGACAATCACAAAGTGGCAAGGTGACATCCTCGCCTACAAGGAGCATCTCAAGTCAAAGCTAGTGGATGAGGACCCGCAGCTCACCAAGAAGACCCACAACGTGTGAGCGCCGGGCAGGGGGGATGGCCGTGGCCGAGGCGACGCGCCCGGCGAGCGGGACTCTGCGCTGCCTGCGGCTGCCTGCTAGGACTGCTGCACTGCTGCCTCCCCTCCGCCTGCCTTGCGCCTCTGTTTCTGGACAGAGCTCTTCTCTCCTGAGCTGGCTGTGTCTGGGCAACTGTTTCTGCATTTAGATGGCGTCCCACCTGAGCCAGGCCCTGGGATCTAACGGCCTGGGGCCAGGGCAGTGGCAGTTAGGGTGTCTGAGCCGCGGTGATGCGGAAGCGGAGACCCCAGCCCAGCTTCTCCTGCCTCTTCCTAGTTTCTGCTTCCGTTTATAGATACTTCAAACTCCTCTGGCCTTGGTTTGTTTTTAACTATTATTTAACAGTGTAATTAATGGATCTGCCTGAGAATTCATCAGTCAATAAAGAGGGAAGAACAGTCTTGTCTTGTTTTGTGACCCGTGGTAGTTACTGGGGCATGCTGGGGCAATCCAGCTAGAGCTGAGCTCTGAGCAAGGAAGTAGAACCCCCTTTGAGGTGAAGGTTCTGTTCTTCAGTATTACCACAGTTAGGAACAGCACTTGTGGGTACAAGAAGTGGAGAGTACTGGGCTCTGGAGGTACGGAGCAGTGAGTTAGGATCCTCACACTGGGGAGACCTCTTAATCCAGAGTGACAGCGAGTTTTCCAGTTACGGGCATAAGAGGGAGCATACCACGTAGGATTTCTTTGTTGTTGACAGGTACAACTTGAGGGTTTTGGAGGTTGGAAGTAAGAGATGGAATGTAGATCTATAAAACAGTGTGTGTTCTCTACAACAGCACAGCTCTGGTGTGTGAATTGCATGGGTCTAACAGCAAGGTTGATAATTCAGACTTTTTGGACTATGAGTTAGTTGTTCCTCTCAGGTTTAACTAAACAAGGCTAATCAACTAAAGTTAGTTTAACCTTAATTTTTGTTCCTAATATTTTTTTTAGAAAAGCTGGACTTTAAACCTCACCCTGTCCCACAGAAGCTTCAATAAAATATATTTTTGTATATTTTTAAAACAACTAGAAGTACTAAAGAAAAAGGTAGCAAATCAAAACAAATAGCTTCTTATGACTGTGAGTTGTCATGTGTCAGAACTGATTGAAATGATAATGGCTGCACTGGTCACATCAAAGGTTCATGTAGCCCAGTGACCTATTGCAACAGGACATGCTGACAGGCAAACTGAAGATAAGGCAAATATGTAGGAGTTGTACTTGCTCTCCTGCAGCACTTTCTCAGATGCCAACTGTCTGTGGCTCTGGCTTTGAGTATTTCCTGTCTTTTCAAAAGGCACCATCCAAGTTGTGACCGCTGCTATCAAAGCACCAGATAACATCCTCCAGACAAATGTCACAATGGGAGCTGCTTCCGGCTGGTGGTGCAGAACATCCAGGGTTTTTAGTGGTTTTAGCAATGATTTGAGAGGCACAACAACAACAAAAAAGTATTTTCTGAGAAGGTAACGCAGATGAGCTCCAGTGCTGCTCAAGTTGTGTGGAGAAGTATAGATTGCAGTGAACAGTCACGTCAGTGAAGACCTCGGTGTCGTACTCAGTGAGGGAATAAAAGCCATCCACAGACAAGTAGTTACTATAAAGGCTGAAACACAAGTTGAAACAAGAATAGATGAATGCATGTCTTTGTTCCTTCTGCTCTCTAGGTTTTAAGAAGATGTTGGTGAGCTGGGAAGGGTTGCAAAGCAGCTATGAGAAGGTTGAGGTCAGGAAGTCCTCCCTGAGGCTAGAGCTGTTCATTCTACTCTTAGTCTTGGCAAAGATCTGGCAAGAACTCTTACCACTACATTTCAGGTCAGTGTAGCTGAGAGACACGGTGGCAATAATAAATGCAGAATATAATACACTGAGTTCTCTGGGAGTGGTAAATCCTCATAAGGACCTGGAAACTTTGGGACGACAGCCAACAAGGTGGACCATAGCTGAAGAATTCTTGTAGCTGATGTAGCAAAGAGGAGAGCTGTGTTGGCTGTCTGCTGCTGCAAAGTGAGAGGAACTTCACAGTTGCAGACTGGTCTCTGAGTTAGCAAACAAGGACCACAGGTACGTGTTCAAAGCAAAAGTAGCTGTGACTGCATTAGAGGTCACAGTTAGTACCATAGAATGGTTTGGGTTGGAAGGGACCTTAAAGATCCCTGCCCAAGCTCCCTGCCATGAGCAGGGACACTTCCCACTAGACCAAGTTGTACAAGGCCACATCCAACCTGGTCTTCAACACCTCTGGTGATGGAACATCCACAGATTCCCTGGGCAACCCATTGCAGTATCTCACCACCCTCACAGTGAAGAGCTTCCTAATTTCTAATAGCAGCCAGGACTTGGAATCAGAACTTTATCAGTCTGGTATTTCAGCCTTGGTTTAGACCGATTCTGTGGTGACAGTTCAATGCACTGAACAGGCCTACATCCTGGAGTACTGGTTTCCAAGGGATAGACAGCCACTAGCTGGGCCATGACATCTTGAAGTGTCTCAGCTAGGGCTCTTCTGCTCATGCACAAAAGCAAAGCTGTGTCTAGATAATTTGAGAGCTGCTCCTCAGTTGCTAGGATAGTCACTTCTGTGAACCAAGTGGCCTAGAGTCTCTCCGCTGTTACTCCCGCTTGTGGTCTAAAACTGAGGTTGGCTCTTACACAACTACAGCCAGAAGTGGCAGATACTACATCAAGAGTGGGATTCCCTTGTCTCTTTTTGTCTTTTCTTGTAGTAAATAATAAATATAGCACAAGAATGAGCCAAGCCCAGCTCAGAGCTTCCAGAACGGACAGCCTCCAGCACGTGCCATGTAGGGAAGTGGGTGGTAATTCCTCAGATCCAAGAGTTCAGATGTGACTGCTGCCCCATGGACAAGCCTCTGCCCTTGCTATATAATGGCTCCTGTGCTTAATGCTGAGTGCCCAGTCACTGCTGCTTGTCCAGTCAAAGGCTTCCTTCTAACTAACTGTTTTGTCACAAAAACAAGCTCTATGTAATTGCTGGTGCCTGACAGAGCTGTGGCTGTGGAGATACAGCAGCCAACAGCTCCTTTAACACAAGGGCGTCCTGGTGCGCCGTGATGGGTGGGAAGGAGGGGTGGCTCCAGCTCCAGTGAGGGGTGTCCCCCAGCACCAGCCGCTGCTGGCCGCTCTGTAAACGGGTGGCTGGGGGGATGTCCCCCCGAGGGGAAGCCCTGTCCTGTTCCTTCCCCCTGTGTGACCTCTTACCAAAGAGAAGCAGTGATGCTGCCTGCTCCTTACTCCCAGTGTGAGTCATCCACTGACATCTCTTGACATCAGATACCACAGAACATGCCACTGTTGTTCACAGAAGGATCCCACTACCCCACAACGTCAACACTCAAGCCCATTCCCCTTCACCAACGTGCTGACGTGACAATTCCAGCTTGTGCCACCCGATCGCTAATGTTTCAGTCTTGGAGTGCAAAAGCCCTTTTGTGATAAGCATATCACAGCGTGACAAAGCAGGTCAGATTTTTCAAAAGAACTGTGGCTCCTCTCTTACCTGGAATGATAGAAACAGTGTCCTTCTCCCAGGAGACAACATATGTCCTTTTGTGATATTTAGACCTTTCTTGTCACTGTGGCATTTACTTGCCCTTGGGGTGGGTGATCAAGTTGCCTCCCCATGAGGACAGGCCTAGAATAAAACTGAATTCAATGCCACGCTATTGGCTGTACAAGCACTGGCAGAGCAACTGCTGAGCAGGTCTCCAAACTCAGTCCTGGGAGGAGGTGATTTGCCAAGGACATGACAGTATAACGTGTGTCTCCGAGCAGGAGACAGCACAATGGTGGCACAAATGTACCAGCATTCCCCCTCCCAAAGGTACACACCAGTGTGACCCTTTATGAGGCAGCTGTTGTGGTGCCTGTGAGAGAAAGGCTTCCTCTGTTAGCTACAGCAGGACAGAAAACTTTCTCCGTTTTGTTCACTTCTCTACTCTGTTGCTGCACATTTTTTTCCTGGCTTAGCTTAATTTGTGCGTCATGATTAAAACCAGGACGCAGTCACTGGCTTCCAAGGTAGACCAGGCACATGCTCAGGGTGCAGCCCTGCCCTCCACTGACTCCTTGCAGTCCTTTGAAGGCCTGCTGCGTGTAGCCCCAGGACTCCTGGGACCAGGCTCTCTGAGATGGTGGGAGGAACATTGACTCTTGGGACATTTACAATGCTGTCATTCTGTCACCAGAGCAATGCTCCCTCCTGTTCCATAGCACACAAATGGTTCCACACACTTCATTCTAGAAGCAACACCTTGAGTACTCTGATTTAGACCCTTCCACCAAAGCAGGAACCTCTCCTTTCACCAAAAACCTGGACAGACCTAGGAACAGCTCTTCTCTGGCCTTTCTGCCCACATGAATGAGACAATACTGCTCTTGCCACCTCTTTGCCCAAGTTGCCCTCAAACTTTTTCCCAGGTCTGAAAGTTTAATTGAATTGGTTCTCCCAAGCTCCTCTCGGGCCACCTGCCCTTCACTTAGTGCAAAGTGGAATCACCAGTCACAGATGTGTGTCAGTCCTGCTCCCTGGCAGCTGCACCTGAGGCAGTACAGGTGAGGGACTGCTGCCTGGGCTATAAAACCAGCCCCACAGCCCCACCAGTTACTCTGTTGGAGCTTGAAATGAGTGCAAAATCTGGGAAGAAGCATGACCATGCTCCCACCTCTGGGAACAGGAAGTCTAAGAAGAAGCCTAAGAGAAAGGAAACCTATTCAGTCTACATTTACAAAGTACTGAAGCAGGTGAGTAAATGTTTCTATTGTGCTAGAAACTGCTTTCCATGTAAAGTTACCTCTGCCTCTTGCATGCTAACCTTATAATGAGGAAGGAAAATCTGCTTTTTAGAGAGATGAAAAAGAGTGTGTGGGTACAGGAGAGCCTCAGCTGGGTCTCAAAAGCCTGTGGGGAGGTTGGACTCTTGAGGTAGGAGGTGAGATCCAGATCTGGATCAGAAAGGGTTTCCTAGAGAGAATAAGCACTAATGCAAGGCTCTAC